CACACACACACACACACACACACACACACACACACACACACACACACTCTGCTTGTGTCTCTGTCTCTCCCTCTTTCTCCTTAGCCAAGTTTTGAAATTCAAAACCAGTTCACAGCTAACATGAGCTTTCACGAACCTACCATTATGGTTCCCAATGAAAGAAACTGCTTCAACAAACTATATGAGATTATTTAAATTAGGGGGATATCATTTGAAGTGTAAATGAATAAAATGATTAATTAAAAAAAATGAAACAAAGAAACTATGCCCGTGTCAGAGGAGAACACTCCCCCACCCCACCCTGGATTCTCTGTAGCTGTGCTAGTTTGAGTTTTACACAGAAATGTATAATGTTTAAAGCACTGCTTGGAAACAATTCCTTGGATGCAAGAAAATGAATGGGAAGGAAAGCACTGTAACAGCAACATTACACATTATACTGCAAATCAAAGAGCTAGTGGCCCCCCTGTACTCCTTAGCTTCTTAGCACTCAGCGCCCCAGTGCTGACTCAGGAGTCTGTGTGGCCTGGCTGCTCAGGCAGCGATTGCTTCCCTGAGGCTCGAGGTGCAGGATCTCTTTGCAATTTCTACTCTACAGTTTAATCACCTCTATGAGATTTTCCACCTAAGACACTAGAGACTTGTCTTCTCTATCTCTGTTTTCTCTTTCAACGCTTGTTTGAACCACACTGTAGACATTTTCTACAGCTCTGTCCTTGAACCACTTTTCTCTCAAGTGACCTTGTCAAACCTTAGCTTCTACATCTTTAGAATGTAGAACATCCTTCTTCATCTGTCTCCTGGACACCACCAATGCCACACCACACTTCACATGTCTGCAACGAAAACCCTTCTCCCTCCTGATTATCTCCACATGTCAACCTCAGGAAGGCACCACCTTGAATGTGACACCTCTATGTTTCCAGAAAACTCACACCAGAAATGCTTCAAATCTGAATCTCTAAATTCTTCGAAATGTCTCCATTCTACATGTCCTATTGCAAGATTTCATCATTTCCTGGTTTGGGTCTGAATAACATTCTAGAAAATTGACAAGTGTGTACAATTTGAATTCACTTTTAAGTAATGAATATTTATGGTCACTTAAAGAGCCTGAAGACATTGGCTTTATTGTTATGAATGAACAGATGAACCTCCATAGTCTACTCACATGCCTAAAGACTCCAGCCATCACTAAAGACAATCTTACTAAAACTTGGCAGAAATCTTGTAAAACAAGGCCCCCCTTACAAATCAAATGTCAGGCAATGTATAACTGTTTCTATTGTCAAAAAGTGGGAAATGCGGGATGTGTGGATGTTTCCAGACAGGAAAGCCAAGAACAGGAGCTGAAGAGGGCAGAGAACTGACAACTTGCAAACGCCTGGGCCAGTGGCTCTCAACCTTCCTAATGCTGTGACACCTTAACACAGTTCCTCATGTTGTGCTGACCCCAAACTAGAAGATCATTTTCACTGCTACTTCATAACTGTAATTTGCTACTGTTATGAATCATGGGGTAAATATCCATGTTTGCTGGTGGTCTTAAGCAACACCTGTGAAAGAGTCCATTGATTCCCCCCCCACCCCCCACCAAGGAGGTCAGGACCCATAGCTTGAGAACCGCTGCCCTGGCTATCCTCTCTGGCACATATGTTAACCTCTATGGGTCCCTGAGGCCCAGTTTTCTCCTCTGCCCTCCAATCTTTTCATGTTCTTCAGACTGAGCATTTTCTATGGCTCCGTTTTCAAATCACTGGCTCTTTCATTTGTTGCCTCAACTCTGTTGAGATAGTGCCGAACATTTTTATTTCAAATACAGTCATGTTTTTTTTTCCACATTCAGAAATTTTCATTTGGCTCCTCTCATATTTTTCATTTTTTTTGCTACTTTTAGTATAATTATGATTACTGAAGCATTTTTGCTTTTATTGGCATCGATTCAAACTTTTCTTTGGGCAATCCTCCACCTCTCCCTCA